AGAATGTGGGTTTTTTTTATAATTTCATAGCTATTTTTCACAGTTTTAAAAAGTTTATATATATTTATATATATTTATCTTTATATATATAATTAAAAAGTTGACTCCATTTAAAGGCATATGATACAGGGGCGGGCGAGTCTTGATACAATAAACTGTACAGGTAACCGTGTGGATCCTCCTGGTGGAGGGGCTGGGCGTGGGCATGGGTTTCAGCACCATTGGTGTTTTCTGTAGTGTGAGGGTCTGGGCTGGGGGCCACCAGGTACCTGGTGATGCTCCTGGGTTGCCCTCCCCTGCCTTGTTTCCCAAGTCGAGGCTGTCCTGAGGGTGGAAGCCAGGCGCACAGGTGCCCAGATGCCCGGCGTGACTGGTGAAGCTGGCTGGCGTTGGGGCCCCCCTTAGCCCATGGTAGGAGGCTTTGATGGACTCCATGTTGGGGATGGCTGAACCCCAGAGCAAGTATCACTTTGAGTTCTTGGAACTGTCTTTTCCCACAGCATCAAAGCAGTCTGCACGGGCCACGAGCCCAAAGGGTGGTCTCATCAATTTCTTAGAAAGTGCTGGAGGGAAGTTCCCCCCACCCAGGTCACCCTGATGGGATCCCAAAGCCGGACCCTGATAGCTGATGGGAGTCTCAGTGTGAGGGCACTAAGGGATGACCAGAAGGGGTCTAGAGATGTGTGCACATGTGTGCACACTCGTGCATGCATACGGGCACACACATGTACACACTCATACTCGCCCGGGGCATTCACGTGCACACCTGGCCACACGCATGCACCCATGGGCACACTGGCATGCACACAACACATGTGGTCCCGCGCTGTGGCAGTGGTGGGGAGGGGGTCTCTGCAGGCCCCGTGGGGCGGGTGGTGCTCAGCAGAGCACAGGCACACCATCTGTGGAGAAGATCATGCCCGTGGTGGGCTCGTAGGTGCCTGCGAGGTAGTACAGGCCCTCGCTGTCTTGGTATTTCTTAGTCTTGAGCATCTGCTCGTACTGCTCCAGGCCCACCACCAGGCACTTGTGGGACACCGTCTGCACATCGTTTTCATCCACATGAGAAGACTGGTACAGGGCACGCTGTGGGGGTGCAGTGACGGGCATCAGGACTGGAGGGAACCCTCCCAGACTTCGGGGACCCCAGTATGCTTTAAGTGGGGAGACCTGGGGACTGAGACTGAAAGGGACCAAGAAAGGGAGAGAGACAGTGACATAGAACAATGGAGATGGCTGGAGAGATGGCTCAGCAGTTAAGAGCAGTGGCTGCTCAAGGACCTGGGTTTGGTTCCCAGCACCCACAGGGCAGCTAATAAGGTTCATAACTCCACTTCTAGGGAATCCGACATCTTCTTCTGACCTCGTCAGGTGTTGCAAGACACAGGTGCACTTACATTCATTCAGACAATATACTCACATACATAAAATAAAAATAAATATTTTTTTAAAAGGCAGCAAGTAAGAGATGGCTCAGCAGTTAAGAACACTGGTTGTTCTTGCAGAAGACCCAGGTTCGAATCCCAGCAACCCTAAAACAAAATATTTTTTAAAATCCACAACATAGCATTATAAAGAATGTAACAGGAAAAAGCTAATAAAAGGAGCATAGGGAGTCAGACACAATGCTTCACAACTGTGTCTCAGCTTCTGGAAGGTGAGCCAAGAGAATTACAAGAGCCAACCTGGGGTGAGAATAAAATATTAAAAATAAATAAATAAAAATAAAAAGCAGCAAATGTGAGGTCCAGAGTTGAGATGCCCAGAAACCAGGTAAATGTCGGATGGACATGGGGGCCCACATGTAATTCCAGCCTCAGAAGGCAGAGATGGGATCTCTGGAGCAAGATTAATCATACCAACGAGGTTTGATTGAGACACCCTGCCTCCATGAATAAGGGGAGAGTGATCAAGATAACTCTCAATGTCCACCTTCATGCACACACAGAAAGGAAAGAAAGAAACAGGAGAAATGATAGAGGTAAACACACACAAAGGTGCCTGCAAACCCCACAGCAGGAGACACATAAAGGCAGAGATAGAGGCAGAGAGCCAAGAGCAGACATAGGAAGCAGGTGGGGCACATGAAAGGACCCGGGCAGCCCTGGGTCACAGACAGAGGGGAGAGATGAGGTAATACAGAGCCTGCAGAAGGGCCCTCCCTCCCTCCAGCTCTCTTACCTCCATAAAGTCTTTCCTCTGGCTGGACACCCGCAGAGCTGCAGGGAGGCTACGCCCTGACTTCTGGTCCCAGTGCTGGGCGGGGGAGAGACAAAGGGATGAAGATGAGTCTGGGGCCTTGTTTTACTCCAAATTGAAACCCTGGGCAGACTAAGCAAGGCCCCCTAGCCTCAACACCGCCCCCCTCCACACACACACACTTATAGGGCTCTCAGCACCCACAGGTCCAGCCTCAAACTGTGATGGTTAGTTGTCAAGTTGACACAATCTAGAATCACCCTGGTACAATCTACATGAGGAACTATCTAGATCAGGTTGGCCTGTAGCCTAAAACTCCTGACTTAGACCAGGCTGGCCTCCATCTCACAGAGATCTGCCTGCCTTTGTCTCTCAAATGCTGAGATTAAAGGTGTACATCACCACACCCAGCTTGTTAGGGTATTATATCACAGCAATAGAAATGGAATTATAAAACTCTGCCTTTGGTACCCAAGATGCAAGTGGGGGAAGGCTCACCTGGCCCTCATGGAACTGCTTGCCAGGGCTGGTCTCCTCCGGGTGGTAGAACCACTTGACTCTAACCACCATGTTGTTACCCCAGGACTCCCACATGCTCTGGATTCGGCCAATGTAGGGCAGGTTGGGGCGTCCAGCTGACAGGAACACAGCGCAATCCCCTATGCGGATCATCTCCTTACCGCGCACGATGGCCTTATAGAACAGCTTGCGGGCCTTGCCTTTCATGCCTCGCCTCTGTGGGAGATGCCAGTCAGAGACCAGAGCCTGTGCTGTGCCCAGCCTCACAGAGCCAGAGGCCTGGCACCCCACCAGCCAGGCCCCTGACTCACCAGACCTGGATACCCTATATCAGGACCTAAGTCACCAGCCATCAGTCTTGAGGGTCTGCCAGGAAGGTGTGCAAGAAAAGAAGCCCTCTTGCAGCTTGACTTTGGGGTGTTCCCCACCACCACCATGGTCCCCACGTTAAAGGATCAATGACCACCTGGTCATTGATCCTATTGGAAAGTGGTGGTACCTTTAAGGGGTGGTGCCTAATGACAGTAAGCAAATCACTGGTGTGGTCTTAAAGGGGATATTAGGCCTCTGGTACTTTCTTCTTCCTGGCATCCACGAGGTGAGTGGTTTTGTTCTACCACATACTCCTGCCATGATGCTCTGCCTCACAACAGGCCCAAGCAATGGAACCAGCAGACCATGGTCTGAAATCTCTGAAACCATGAGCCAAAACAAACCTTACCTCTTTATAAGCGGGCTGTGTCAGGTACTTGGTCACAGCAATAAAAGCTATCTACTACATCCCTCTTTCTTCTGTGCATGTGCTGTACACATGGGTGTATACACATGTACATTCAGGTACATGTGTGAAGGTTCATGTGCATGTGTGTGTAGGCCAGGTCACCACAGGTGTCTTCCTCTATTGCTCTCCACCTTATTTTTTGTTTTTAATTATTTTTATTATGTATGAGTGTTTTACCTGCATGCATGCTAGTGTACCATGTTTATACCATGCCCATAGAGGCCAGAAGAGGGCATCAGATCCCCTGGAACTGAAGTTATAGACGGTTGTTAGCCACCATGTGGGAGCTGGGAACCAAACCTGAGTCCTCTGCAGGAGTAGCCAGTGCGCTTAACTGCTGAGACATCTCTCCAGTCCATTATTTATTTATTTATTTATTTATTTAATTAATTAATTTAATGTTTATACCATGCCCATAGAGGCCAGAAGAGGGCATCAGATCCCCTGGAACTGAAGTTATAGACGGTTGTTAGCCACCATGTGGGAGCTGGGAACCAAACCTGAGTCCTCTGCAGGAGTAGCCAGTGCGCTTAACTGCTGAGACATCTCTCCAGTCCATTATTTATTTATTTATTTATTTATTTAATTAATTAATTTATTTTTGTCTTTTTGAAGCAGGGTCTCCCTGTAGCACCAGCTGTCCTGGAACTCACTACGTAGACCAGGCTGGTCTTGAACTCACAGAGATCCACCTGCCTCTGCCTCCTGAGTGCTATGCTTGGACTTGAGGATTTAGCTCAGCAGTAAAGCTTTTGCCTAAGCAAGCACAAAGCTGTGGGTTCGGTCATCAGCTCCAGAAAAAAAAATGCTGTGCGTGTGTCTGTATGCGCACAGACCTCAGAGGTGTGTGCATGTGACCTCAGAGGAGAGAGGAGGGCAGATGGCTTGGAGCTGGGATTACAGAGCTTGGTAAACTGCCTACCACAGGTGCTAAGATTCAAACTCTGGTTCTGATGATTGAGTGGCAAATGCTCTTAGGCTCTGAGCCATCTCTCCAGCCCCTTCACCTAACTTTTTTTTGAGACAAGATTTCTCAATGAACCTGGAGTTCATCAACTTGATCTTGAAAATGAGGGAGGGAGGGCAGGGGGTGGGGGGAGAAAGGAGAGAGGGAGGGAGAGAAAGAAAGAGCTCCCTCCATGAGAACTGGCCTGGCATCAACATTTCTATGCCTCCAGGAGTCCAGCCTCACTAAGGCACCAGGAATTGACATCACACCCAAGCCAGGGGCTTCTCAAGCTGTTAACCCCTAACTCCTAAACCTGCCCTGATACAGCAGGACTGAAAAGAGGTTCCACCCAGCAGGGGTACCTCCTTAAAGGTGTCCACGTGGCCCTGAGGGACATGGGTGCTGTGGGGAAACTCAGGATAGGTCAGTGGGTAGGAAAACTCCACACATGAACCTGGTTACGAAAGGTGAGTTAAGAAATGTCCCTAAGCCAGGTGTGGTGGCACATGCCTTTAATCCCAGAGGCAGGCGAATCTCTGTGAGATCAAGGCCAGCCTGGTTTACATAGCGAGTTCCAGGCCAGCTGTGGCTATAGTGAGACTCTGTCTCAAAAAAAAAAAAAAGAAGCAAAAACGAAAACAAAAATGTCCCCAAAGGCCGTTTAGGACATGGCCTCCAGGGTGGAGCTACTGGGACTTGGTAACTACGCTGGGGTGGGGGAGATGTTGATGAGGGCCTTAGTCAAGGGGGTATGCCCTCAAAGGGGACTCTGGGGCCTGGGATTCTTATTCTTTCTCTTTTTCTTTCTGAGAGAGGGTCTCACTACGTAGCCCTGGTTGGCCTGGAACTCACGGGACTACCTTCCTGTCTCCTGAGTGCTGGAATTAAAGGTGTGTGCCACTTACTCTTTTTGAAAAACTTTGTTTTAAATTTTTTGTATGGGGGGGGCAGTGCAGGTGGAGGTCAGAGGGTAGTTTGCAGGAGCTGGTTGCCTCCTCCATCCCAGGAATTAAACTCAGGTCACTGGGCTTGGCAGTTTAGCTACTGAGCCATCAGGCAGACTCTTACTCTTTACCTTTGCTTCCTGGCCTTAAAGTGAACAGTTTATTCCCCCACCGGCCTCCCCACACTGTACGCAGCACTCCATCAGAAATGGGGTCTAGGGCTGGGGATTAGCTCAGTTGGTACAGTACTTGCCTAGCATGCACAAAGCAAGCCCTGCATTTTATTCCTAACACCACATAAACCAGGCATGGTGCTGCACACCTGTAACCCTAGTACTCAGGAGGCAGAGGCAGGAGGATTAGAAATTCAAGTTCATCCTTGGTTACACAAAGTTCAAGGCCAGCCTGGGATACATGAGACCCCTTCTCCAAGAAGGTGGGAGATGTTCAGTGGGTAAAGGGCTTTCTGCACAAGCATGAGGATCCAGCACCCACATCAAAAAGACAGGCATGGTTGCAGACACCTAGAACTCTAGCACTGGAGGTTAGAGGCATACAAATCCCAGGAGCTTGTAGGCCAACCAGGCTCACTGTGAATGTGAGCCCTCACTTGAGACATTCTCTCAAGGCAATAAGGCAGAAACTGATAGGGAAAAATGACAACTTCCTCTGACCTCTGCATGCATGGGCATAGGCATGGGCATCCACATGTTCATGTGCATGTAACTAACACACACACACACACACACACACACACACACACAGACACACACACAGAAATAGGATCTGCCTGACCATAAACCTGGAAATGCTAAAACCATGAACCAAAACAAACCTCTTTATGTTAATTATACTTAGTATGTATGTGCACCACATGCATGCAATGCCCAAGAAAGCCGGAAGAGGGCATCAGATCTCCTGGAACTGGAGTTACAGATGGTTGTTAGCCACCATGTAGGTGCTGGGAACTGAACCTGGGACCTCTGGAAGAGCAGCCTTTGCTCCTAATCACTGAGTCATCTCTCCAGCCCCTACACCTTGGGTATTTTGTTAGATAAGGGAAAGCTGACTCTGGCTGACATTGGCTCTTTTCACCCACAGGCATAGGGTGGAATGCTGACCATAAGGACTATTACCATACTCCACGTGGAAGCTTCTAGAATACTATGCTACTGAAAACCACATGTATGTTCACATCTAATGTGTTCTGTATCTATTACATTTATTTGTATATAACACACATGGACACATGTGAATTTGATGTGTGTTCCTGTGTACTGTGTTCACATGTACTTATATTAGTCTCTTTTCTCATTGCTGACTAAATACCTGACAGAAAAAAAAAAATCTTTTTTTAAAGGAGGATTTGTTGGCTCAGTCCATGGTAGTTTGGTCTCATGTGCTTGGGCAGAGCATGGTGCTGGGGGCCTGTGGCAGAAGTAAGCTGTTCACTTTCTGGATGATCAGCAAGCAATGAGAAAAACAGGAAGTGGCCAGCATTAATATATCCTCAAAGACCCACTCCCAGTGACTTACTTCCTCTAGTCAGGTCCTGCTTTCCAGAAGTTTCTACAATCTCCCCAAAATAGTGCCACCAGCTATGGACCAAGTGTTCAAAATGTGTGTAGGGGAGGGGAGAGTCTTTCATACTGGATCTATAAAAGCAGTCATGCATATACATATGCCCCAATATACATACATGTGTGCACTCATGTATGTTTTACACTTACACGTGTGTGTATGTATGCATGGGTGAATGGATGATAAACAGCTATGGTAGGGTCTGGGAGCTGAAGATCCCCGACTATCAGGGAGTATGTAGGACCCATGACCCGTGGATCACTAGACATTATCTGTTAGCAAAGGGGGTGCGGCCCCGTTGGCCTTCAATGCTCTGAACTTGAAGTTTGAAAGTAGCTGACATGGGGCAGTTGCAATGCAAAGCAAGTCAACTGCTGAGGGGCTTTGTAAGCCCCTCTGTTCCAGCTCAGCACCATGGGAAGGCCTGTGTGGGTCTTCAAGTGTCTTGTACTTGAGTGCCCAAGGGTGTCTGGTAGAATAGGAAGACAGGCCAGCCTGTTCAGGATACAGGCTCTGGACTGAAACAGGCCTTGAAACACAGTGTGTTCATCCAGAACTTGGAGCCCTCCATGTCCCATGGTTCCTTTCCAAAAAGTTTACCTGGGTAGGCTTCCCGAACCACTTCCAAAGTTGCCGGGCAGGTAGGAAGGCCGCTATCTTGGGCCGGTTCTCCACAGATGGCAGGCGCTGTCGTTTGGCCAGCTCCTTGGTGGTGGGCAGGTGCACACCCTCCCTTTTCTTGGGTCGGCTCTTGGCCCCAG